ACTTTGCCAGTTCACTCCCTTGTCATGCTTTGCTTGTGCTAAACTTCCCAGAGAACCATGATATCAAATTGTAACTAGAATGTAAGCTGATGGTGCAACAGATAAAAATTTCAGAATTATACTTAAACATACTTATCTTTAGACACAGAAGAGGACATAAAGGCAGCTGGACAGCTTAAAGCTAGTCTAAAACAAGACAAATGTATACTACGTGTTCAAGCTGCTTCCTGTGATGGAAAATGTGGACTATATGGAAGACATACTATAGTTAAATATAGTAGATCCCATGGTACACTTTAGTGTGATGAAAGGAGTGATGTAATTCTCTTTAGAAAGCTCTTAGGATGAAGGAAACATTAGTACAAATACGGTAGCCTGCTAAGTTTGTACTGATCTTGAGAATTTGCTATCAGAAGGTATGTTCGCATTATGAAAGGCATGACCTTACAAAAATAATAAGGTTGTATGGAGCTTTTGCCATGGATCAGGGAGACTGAGAGAATAATAAAATTAGCACTTTTCACCAGTAAACATCAAAAGAAGGTTAATATCATTATCTCCATTATATGGATGGAAATATTGAGACGTGCCTGAGTGCACAAGAAGACTCAGTAGAATATCTGGGACCAAACCCTGCATTTCCTAATATTCAGTCTGTCCCCTGTCCTCTGTACCATACTTTCCTTCTCATAGATCACATCAAACCATTCAGCTGTACAATTCACTTGTCCAAGATCCACATAAAAAGGAATAAAATCTTAAAGAAAAAATATGTCACCAGTACAATATTATCACTTCTGTGAATGATCCATAATTCAGTATATTATCACTACATACGAATCTGGTCATCTTCTTAATAAAAACTGCTGTTATCAAGATCTGTTGTCTGTTCAGCATATTAACTATCACAGTAACTCATGAGAAGTTCTGGAAATTTTATAAATGAAAACTAATGCTATGAGATGGTTATAACTTTGGGCAACAGACAACTAGATGACTCACTCTTAGACCCAACTGACATTCACGATGGGAAGAAACCAGATATTCCATAGAACCAAAGAATGAAATTATTTAAACAGTAAATAAAATTGAAACATATTATTATATATCTCATTGGCTAAATTTTTCATATTTAAGTACTACATAAGGTGACCTGATTTTCATAAATGCTGAGCAATAAAAAAAATCACTGAAGTAGATGAGAGCTGCCCGTACTCAGCACTTTTTAAAAATCAGGCTAATATTGGTTTAGAAGCTTAGCTTTGAGTACACCAATTTGAAAATTTTGGCCATTATCTTTTTATAGGTACTATTATATCTGAACAAATTACTAATCATAAGGGAAATCCTGCCCTTTTTGAAGTAAATGGGAGTTTTATTATTAATTTCCACAGAGCCTGGATTTGAAACTCTTACTTCTCAAGGTAAATATTGAACTTAAAGGTCTAGAAATTATATTCGCCATCTTGGGTGGTAAACACATTTTGCACATTTTCTAAGCACAATGCAAACTATGAAGTATAACTGCTATCTGAGACAAAACTACTAACCTTTTGAGACTAAACTATTAGCCATCTAGCTTGCAATCGGGTATTGTTGCTCAACCAATAGTTTTTTTTACAAAGTTTAACAGAAGTATATATTAAAACATATGCTATTCCATAGTTCCATTGCTTAGGAATGAGGTTTCACAGTGGCATACTGCTGCAAAGCTTAGCTAGAAGCCCTGCCACAACTGCAAACTGTAATTTCACTGTAAGCTTCCCACCCCAAGTTCGAAAACAGATAATCACAATCATAGCACATCAGGCCTCGTTATAAATTGTTTCACTTTGAATCTACAACTGTAAATGACCATTTTAAGAATTATTCTATTTCACTCTGTTGAAATTTTCAGACTTGTATGTTAGATTGTATACTGTGTTGAATATTTGCATAGGTTTTTTTGTTACAGGTGAATGGATGTTGCCATCTACTGTTCAAAAAAAATATGATGAATCAGCCAAGACACACATCTAGGGCAAACTTGCTTCAGAGCACTGATTTCAAAAGTAAAATCAAACACTCATAGTTATAGGAAAGCAACTCATTAAATAGAAATCTACATAACTGTAACCATTCTCCTGGACAAAAGGTATGAGGAAAAAGACAGTTCTGCTCCTAAACCATAACTCTACTAGGGACTGATACTACTAGGAGCAATATATTAGTCTGAAAGTTCATGGTTGCTGTTTTGTGCACATAAAATGGGTACTCTTAATTACCATTGACTTCAAAAGCTGAAATCCCACTGAAACAGTTAATTAATTTTAAGATAACATGAGTCCTGATCCTGAACTTCTATTTTTATTGTTTTTGTTAGGAGAAAACAGTAATCACATATGAAAAAGTTCATCCCTGTGGAGAGTCCATACAAAGTCTACACACTGCTGAAGTTGCACAGATCTTGTTAGAACTCTGCACAAGAATGAACTGCATCTATTAAGAAGCACTTGCAAACTGATTTTTTCGTCCCTTTCCTCCTCCAGCTCCTTGTCAGCAGCACTGTCATTTCCATCATACTGAAAGAGGAAAAGGGTGTCCCACAGCATAGGTCTCTGAAGGAAATTTAACAACAGCACCAAGCTGTGCTTCCTTACAGATAATCTGTAGGGTTGGTGGAGCAGTGGGTAACATTTCCCATAACCTGCTATCTAGCTACAGCATCTCCCTACCACCATGGAGAATACTCCAACTCCAAAAAATAGGGACAATACCAAAAGCAGCTACCCATCTGCCTGAAGTGGAACTTCCATGCATAAATCACCAAAACAAAGTCGGGCCATTTTAAAAAATTAAATCCTAACATTAAATGCAAACCTTATAAAAGCAACTTAAAAACCTTATTGTATGTAAATTCTCCTTTTCCCTCCTTGAATGTCATCTCTTTGTATCACATCATGTCATACCTGCCCTAGCTTATGAACTGTGTTCCCTGTAAGTTGTGTGCTTGTGCAGCCACTCAGGAGAGATTCAAATGCTGCTACGCTGATTTGCAGAGCACCCACAGCTAGGTTTCTGTTTTTACTCGTAGTGTACATTTTCACATGCCTCAGGCTATGTCTACACTACAGAGGTTCACGGAAAAACAGTCATTTTTCCACAAAAACTTGCGAAATGTTCACACCTCGAGCACGTTTTTGCACAAAAAAATCGAAAGCAGAGGGCTTTTTGCGGGATAGGTATTCCTCTTTCTACAAGGAATAACTCCTTTTTGCGCAAGAGCTCTTGTGCAAAAAGGTGTGCGTGGACAGGGAACAAGGGGTTTTTGCGCAAAAAAGCCCAGGTGCCCTGGCGGCCATTCTGTAAATAGCAATCAGTTTCCTTTCAAGAGAGTGTCCATGCAGTCTGGACGCTCTCTTTCACAAAAGCACATTGCTTTTTCGATACGCTTTTGCAGTATGAACACTCTCTTGCACAAGAAATTTTTGCAGAAGATCTCTTCTGCAAAAAGCTTCTTGCGCAAGAAGCCTATAGTGTAGATATAGCCTCAATGCACATAAAAAACTATTCCACCAACAGATGGAAAAAATCCACACATGGATGGAAAGGAGCAAAGGGAATATTGATTATGAAGTCCTCAAAGCAGGGGTCTTTATTCTTTTTACACACAGCAAGTGTACATATGGCACGGTACACAAGGGCTAACTAAGTCTTAAGTGAAGCTTTAAAAAAAGAATGTAAAACTTGAAACATGAACCGAAGCAAGGGATGCCAGGCTGGTAGACGTGCTCCCCGCAGCTGCTCTCTCTCACGGGAGACTCCTGCTTAGTACCCTTTGAATTTCATTAAGGGGAGAACCATCAAGGGTGATTTCCTTGACTTTTTGTGGTGGCTGCCACTTTCACATTATTTTTAAGTTCTTAAGTGGAAAGCTTACTGAGAGCTTGTTATTTTGATTCCTGAAAAGCCACAGCAGTACTCTTTAGAACCATTACTGCAGTAAAACATTACTGCAGCTGGGAAGGCAGCAGGCACAACCACAGTAGCTGAATTTTCCCTGTGATTTTTGTTTCGGGAAGGAGGGGTGGGGAAGGGCAGAAGATAAGCCATGTCTTTACTTAACATAGGATCAACACTCTGGTGATAGATCTTTCAGGGTTCAATTTAGTGGGTCTAGTAAAGCCCTGCTAAATTGAACACTGAGGGTGACCCCATCAACACCAGTACTCCTCACTGTGTGGGGAGTAAGGGAAGTCAACTGTGGAAATGGCACTGTGGAAATGGCACCAAGATCAACCTAAGGTATGTTGACTCCAGCTACATTATTAACATAGCTGGAGTTGCATACTTTAAACTATCGACCTTCCAGGTGTAATGTAGACCTGGTCCCAGAGTCATCAGCAGTAATGTCTCAAGGACAAGACTTTGCTTTCTGCCATACAAATAGAAGAAAAATTGGATTAATATACTCCCCAGTTAGTTTAATTAAGTTCCCTGAAATGTGTACATAACTTGTAAACTCTACTAAAATGAGATACTCAAGGATTAGATTTGGCCCAGTGCTATTTTCACATGCTGAAGATCTGGAAACACAAATTAAACATGCTAAGAGCAGGCGCCTAAATTTCTTTTTTAAATGGACAATGCATTATGTAATGGATTTCCAATTTTATTTAAAATTGTTGAAAACAGAAAGAAGATATTCTTTCTGTGGTCTGCAATGCTCTTTTCTCTTTCTCTTGTTGTTCAGACAGCCAAAGAAGATCATAGGATGGTGCATTGTGGCATCAATATGTAGACACACAATTCTAGATCTTTTTACTGGTTCATATTAACCATCTCTTAGCTATTCAACAGTCTAGCCAGCATTTTTATATTGAT